ATAGACACAGGAATAGGGTAAGAATAATAGTTGCCAAGGGTCTTGTAAAAAATATAATTGCTGTCATTAGGAAAAGTGATAGGATTATGTTAGTTAAACTAGTTATTTAAGATAATATAGTAAATGTTATTAGTTCATACGCCCTCCAAGTAGGATTAGATTATCAGACTAAGAGAGTTTTTTGGGACCAAATGGATAAGGTATTATAAGAGATATCCGTAGGAGAAAACCTAGTTATAGGTGGCGATTTCAATGGCCATGTAGGAGTAGATAAACTAGGTTATGAGAGGGTGCATGATGGGTAAAGTTTTGGTGATAGAAATGAGACTGGAAAGAGTATTTTAGATTTTGCGTTGGCATCTACCCTAGTTGTGGCCAATACTATGTATAAGAAGAGGGAGGAACATTTGATAACCTTCAAGAGTGGGTCAATTAGGAATCAAATAGATTACTTTCTAGTAAGAAAAGGGGACCGTCTAAAATCCAGTGACTATAAAGTGATTCCTGGAGAGAGCTTGAAGTCTCAAAATAGGATTTGGGTACTAGATTATGTTTTAAAGGGCAATACCAAGCTCGGAAAGATAGTGGACGTTGTAGGACTAGATGATAGGACCTAAAAGAGGATAAACTAGACACATTTAAGAATAGAATGGATAAAGAAGGTACTTGGGACATGGAAGATGATGCTAACACTATATGGAACTCGATGGCCAATTGTATGAGACGAATCTCAAGGGAAGTTCTTAGAGAGTCGAAAAGAAAAGGACCCCACTTTAGGGAACTTGGTGGTGGAGGGAGGAGGTCTAAGCGGTAATAAAGACGAAAAAAAATAGCTTTAAAAAGTGACAAAATGATATAACTGAGGAAAACCTTAAGCGATATAGATTGGCCAGTAAGGAGGTCAGAAAATTCGTAAGAGAGACTAAGTCGAAAGCCTATGATGACCTATACATTAGACTAGATAATAAGGAGAGAGAGAAGACGATATATAAACTTGCTAAGATAAGAAAAAGGAAAACAAAAGATTTTAATTAAGTTAAGTACATCAAAGGTGAGGACTCTAAGGTGTTGGTGAAGCATGAAGAGATTAAGGAGAGATGAAAAATCTATTTTGAGAAGTTGTTAAATAAGGAACATAGAGGTAGGTCAAAAGGGAAGAAAGTAGACAATAATAAGAAAAACCAGAACTATAAGTTCTATTGTAGGATTAGAGACTTTGAAATGGAGTTTGCAGTTAAGAATATAAAATTGAATAAGGCTTTAGGACCCGATGATATACCTATTGAAGCGTGAAAATGTTTGGGTAAGAAAGGGTTGTTTGGCTGACTAGTTATTTAGTAAAATTTTGTTGACTAGGAAAATAATAGAGGAGTAGAGGAAGAGTATTTTAGTGCCAATATATAAGAATAAAGGAGATGTCTAGAATTACAACTATAGAGAAATCAAGTTAATTTGTCACACAATGAAAGTGAGAGAGAGTGATGAAATGTCGATTGCGAGATATAACGGAGGTGTCAAATAATCAATTTGGGTTTATGACTAGTAGGTCAACAGTGGAAGCGATCTATCTTTTGATGAGAATAATAGAAAAGTATAGAGAAAAGAAAAGACACATTCATATGATTTTTATCGATTTTGAGAAAGCATATGATAGAGTACCTCGGAATATAATTTGGTGGTTGCTAGAGAAAAAAGGGGTGACAAAATGTTACATTGATATGATTAGGGATATGTATAAAGGTGTGGTGACCACTATTAGATCGCCTGTTGGAGAAACGAATGAATTTTCAATTACTGTAGGTTACACCAAGGATCAACCTTAAGTCCTTATCTTTTTGCTTTAGTATGGATTAGTTGACGCGCAATATTCAGGATAATGTGTCATGTGGTATGCTTTTTGCAGATGATATTATGTTAGTGGATGAGACTAGAGAAGGAGTTAACACTAAGTTGGAGATTTAGAGAAAAACACTTGAATCAAAAGGATTTAGGATAAGCAGAACTAAGATAGAGTATATAAAGTATAATTGTAGTAACAGTCACAATAGAAATAAAGAAGTGAAGATTGAGAACCAAGAACTACCTAAGAGTGAACATTTTCGTTATTTAGGATTGATAATCTCAACGATTGGAAAGATTGGAGTGGATGTAGTTCACAGAATTAAGGTAGGGTGGCTTAAGTGGAGGAATGCGTATGGAGTGGTGTCTAATAAACGAGTACCCGTTAAACTAAAGCAGAAGTTCTATAGAACGGCTATCAGACCAGTAATGTTGTACGTGACAGAATGTCAGGCAACTAAGAAACAACATGTAGATAAGATGAGTGTTACTGAGATAAGGATGCTAAGGTAGACGTGTGACAAAACTAGAAAAAACAGAATTAGGAATGAGTATATTCGAGAATGGGTAGAAGTAATACCGATAGAAGATAAGTTGAGAGAGAATAGATTGAAATGTTTTGGTCATCTACAACGGAGACCAACAGAGGCAGTAGTGAAAAAATGCGATACAGTGACGTGGACTAGTGTAGTAAATGCGATACAATAGATAGTAAATAGATAGTAAAAGACGGAGTGTTAAGGGAAATGGTAGACCTAGATTGACGTGGACTAGTGCAATAAATAGATATATGAATCTCCTTAATTTGACTAACGAAATGACCTTAGATAGAGTCAAGTGAGAAAGAATGATTCATGTCGTCAACCCCAATTGATAGAACTCAAGACTTGGCTTGGCTTGGTTTAGTTTGGTTTACCCCTATAGCAATTAGGTAGCAATTATGCCTTAAATTCAGTTATTTACTTATTTATTTAAATCTCACAGTTTCTAAGTTTAGATTTTAAATTTAATCATACAATTCATGGTTTTATTTTTCTAAAATAAAATGATCATATGCGCGAGCAGGGTGTGTGCCACCAATTCTAGTGATATATAAAGCAATTCAGCAATAACCAAGGCCAATATCCTATAGGGTGTTTTGAAAGTGACTATTTAGTTTATTTTTTAATTTTTTACAAAAAGACATAAAAATAGATAGAGTGATATAATTGGGTGTTTTGACTTTTTAATTATTTTAATATTGTTTTGAATGACTTATAATTTGTTTTTTTTTAATTTATTACAAAAAAACGTATAAAAAAATAGATAAATAATGTGACCTAAATATATGAGATCTGAACTAAAAAACCACCATTCCAAACGGGGTCTAAATTTTTATTTATTACAAAAAAACGTATAGAAAAATAGATAAATAATGTGACCTAAATATATGAGATCTGAACTAAAAAACCACCATTCCAAACGGGGTCTAAATAGATCACCACGGAAGAGGATACAATGCTTGATATGCCCTAAGGCCCAGTCAAAAGTCAAATCGGCACCCTTAAAACCTTTCTACAAAACTACCCCACGATTTTGGAAACTCAACCCATAGGCAGCACATCAACAACCGCTCTGACGACGACAACTTCCATCTTCTCTGGTACCTTCATCCACCAACCCATTGCCACAGAATCTCACAAACTAGCATATAAAGATCCTACATCGCCGTTACAACTCCAACATCACTTAAGACGACATGACTCCAATAGTAATAACTACCATTAGGACTTCACACCTAGGTCTAAGCTTACAAATGAACTGATTCAAGAACTTGACTCGACTCAATAAGGACTCGAGCTAAAATTTAGGCTCGTTTGATAAATGAGTCAAACTCAAGCTTGAATAAAATCAACTCGTAAAACTCAACTTGCTTATTATTTATTTAAATAATATAATAAATATATTATTTAAATAAATAATGTAAATAATAAAAAATTTCATTATCGAGCTTGATTAGTATTAACGTGTCAAGTCAAGTTCGAGCTGAATTTTTGAACTCCATCAACAAACAAACCAAGCTCAAACCCAACAAAACTTGGCTCAACTTAGCTTGTTTGTGGCCCTATCCACGCGACACACAAGACAACAACACGACGATAATAGGAAGCAAACACATCCAGTCCCACTGAGAAGGAGATGCAGTCATATCTTTGAGATCTGCAACACCAAGGAGATCTCCTAAAAAGCAAATCACCACTCCAACCTCTCTATCAATGGCCATTACCAGACGTTGCTAATCACAAGAAGAATCTGGAATGAGAAATGAAGAGCAGTGACCGATTGATTAAGTCTAAATGGAGACCTCGAGATGTAGACCTTACCTCTCACTGTTAAGCCCACACAGATAAATATTGAGAGATATGGTATAAACCCATTCACTAGATGAAATAGGAACTCCAGGGAAGATTGTAAAGCAACCAAAAGAGAAAAGTCAAAAGCCCAAAACTTTGACTCCAAATATGGATCTATGGTGCTCAAGGGTTATACACAACTACATAACCAACAAATAAGCTTAGACTAACAGGTTGGAGGTCAAAAAACCAAAAGCTCCAAATATAGATCTATGGTACTCAAGGGTTATACACAACTACATAGCCAATAAACAAGCTTGGACTAACAGGTTGGAGGTCATCAGGTCTCTCAAAGGGAGAGTAGCCTCCTTCCTATGGCACAGGAGCCATGGAAAATCTCTCTCCAAAGAGAGGCAAGTGTGACAAGTTTTAACAAATTATTTAACATGTAAAATGAAGTTGTTAAAAATGCAATTCTTGTGTTGACACTAACAAGAGCCACGAAAAAACTTAATATAGAGAAAAACTCAACATAATTTATTATTAATTCACCAAAATCTAATGCACCCCAAGACTTACATAGGTATTTATGCTAGAGTATTCCAGTAGTAAAGACAGTAATAATACAAAGACAAGCTAACGTAGGGAAATGTGTATGGAATGAACGCAAGTAACAAGAGCCACTAAAAAACTTAATATAGAGAAAAACTCAACATAATTTATTATTAATTCACCAAAATCTAATGCACCCCAAGACTTACATAGGTATTTATGCTACAGTATTCCAGTAGTAAACTTTCAAATAAACTAATTTGCTAATCAAGAATGTGAAAAAAGGAAATTATTAATTTTTGTTAACCAAGTAAAACAACTAAAAAAAATAATTAATTCTTGTAGAACAATAAATGCATAAACACAGAAAATCAACACAATTTAAGAAACCTAATAATTGTAGAATATTCTATTACTCAAACTAAAATATTCCTAATCAACTACTAATTCTAAAATAATAAAAATAAAATTTTTCTAAAATCTTGTCCGCACATATTAAAATTACATGACAGCTGAAGCACCCTAACCCACAAGCTTGGACTGACAACATAAAACCTGGCCTGGAAGGAGAAGAAAGAATCCGCTTTGTTTATGGCTAGAGAGCATTGTTATTAAGATGGGGCGCCAAGATACGAGGCAAGCCGCAAAATGTCACTGAAGATTCCACCAGCTGTGACTTGAGCCCCGGCACCTGGCCCGCGGACTACCAGAGGCTGCTTTTTGTACCTTTCAGTGGTGAAGGCAATGATGTTGTCAGACCCTGAAAGCTGTGAGAAAGGGTGATCTTTCTTGTATCTTCCCAATTCCACAGTCCCTTTTTGATTAACCACATCCACTACCCCAACATATCTCAAGACCTTCAAATATCACAAGTTCATGAGAAGATAGAAATACAGAAATAAAATAAAATAACAGAGGAAATTGGGGTGGGGGGGAGAAACAAAAACACAATTTGCATGTAGTGAAACAACTCAGTGTCGATGTTAAACTGAAACTGTTAACTAAATGGGCAGAGCCATATTCCTTTCAATTTCTTAAATTATTTATTCTTATTTCTCGTCTTGAGGTTTTTTAAATTTATATATTGGAAGCACGTTTGAACTACTGTAAAACCCTCACAACTTGTGCGTAGTTAACAATTTAAGCATCATCATAGTTTATCCTATATAAATATAAAAGTTTCTTGATTGGTTTCTTCGCCCTTGCTTTTATGCTATCCCAAGAGAATTAAATTGTTCCATTATGCTCAAATAATACTTTGAAGAATATGGGACAATATAGGGCAGGACCACCAACCATCCCATATGATTAGGGATAACCACTCCAAGACAGACACATGCATGCAGACACAAAGCTCCGTTTACTTTTTCTTCTTCTTCTTCTTCTTCTTTTTTTCTTTTGTGTGCACGCTGGTAAGGATGTTAGTTGGAAGCTTTTTTACTTCTGAAAATATCTTGATCAGAGGGTTCTTTTGTTTAACACTTCCAGAAGAGGGAGGACTGGATTTTTGCTCTCTATTTTTTCCTTTTCTTCTTCTACTTTGGAAGAGGATCAAATAGAGGGGAGTTGATTGGGTCAATTAGTAAATTAGAATGTGACTACTTTTGCTAACTGGAACAATATAGTGGGTGTTTGGGAAGTGGGTTTTTTTGTAAGTTTTTTTAGTTGTCAGATATTATGGGAGAAAAAAATTTTTGTGTTTGGGAAGATAGTTGAGTTTTTTTATGGTTAGATGTGATGTTTGTGAGAGAAAAAATGAAATGATTATGGGGTTTGATGTGATATTTTGTTTGGATTTGTTTTTTTTGGTTTTGTAACTAATTTGTCTTTTAGTTTTTGCTAACTGGAACAATATAGTGGGTGTTTGGGAAGTAGGTTTTTTTGTAAGTTTTTTTAGTTGTCAGATATTATGGGAGAAAAAAAATTGTGTTTGGGAAGATAGTTGAGTTTTTTTATGGTTAGATGTGATGTTTGTGAGAGAAAAAATGAAATGATTATGGGGTTTGATGTGATATTTTGTTTGGATTTGTTTTTTTTGGTTTTGTAACTAATTTGTCTTTTAGTGAAAAAAAAAAACCTAAAAACTAACTTTCCAAACACCCCCATAGTAACATTGTCTTAGAATACTCACTTCCCCTGCTTCCTCTGCATCCTGACGTTTGTTAGCCATGTCTTGGTCATATTGTGGCAGTTGCTGGAGGAATTCCTCAGCTGATGCACTACCCTGAACAGATCATCAGAAAGTCAAATCAAAGAAAAACTATTTTTCAAACGAACTATTGTACCATTAAAAACAAACAGTCTTACCCTTAATGGTTCTGGCACCAGGTTTTCAATAGGGATATTTGGAAGTTCTAGCATTAGACCAGACTCTCTGGCAAGAATTATCACCTGAAACATGGAAACTCCTATATGAGCATGAACTTATCTCACTAGGTTTACATTAAAGTAATGACACAAGATTGCAGCCATAATGAGATGACTGACCCTTTGTTGGTGGTCAAACCTAGGCATGCAGTTAGGGATGACTATTTTGGTCTGCCAATAGGCACTCACCCGCCCCTAATTGAATGGGTTTTCCTCCACCCACTGAATGAATGTTTGGGGGAGAGGGGGTTTTCACACCCACAGATAGTTTGGGGTTGAAAGCAGGGCAGGTGTTAACTCCCCTGGGTATATTAAAAACATTTGGTATTTTATTTTTATTTTTTTCAAATATATACATAAGCCACACCTATTTTTTACATAAAAGATTTTGATTGTGGTATATGCATGGTAATGATTTGTAAATTTAAAATTTGATATATAACATTTTATTTTATTTAGATTGATTTTAATTTATTTATGAAAAAAGGTCCGGCCACAAGGTGAATGCAGGGAAAACCCCCACCCGAAATGGGGGGAGGGGCGGGGAACAATACACCCAAAACAAATTCGCCCCATTGTCATCTCTACATAGTAGTATCATGAATAATCAGCTTGTAGAATGCTGCTCTGCCTATTCCCCATCGGTCCTGATGATTTTGTAAAAACACGTTGGGCAGTCACTAAATCAACTACAGGTGAGCTGGCATACTCGTTCGCAAATTTTTTTGGACCCGAGTAACAATAAACAGATGGGCACATGATCTGAGTTTTTTTTCTCCCCTTCAGTAGTGAATTCATTTTATTCAGATTAGCTAGCTCGCAACAGTAGTTTTTTTTTTTGGACACAATTAGTTTTATATCCAGGTCACTACCAAAAGGAAATTAAAGAGATCTTTACTCACAAAAGAGCTCTCTGAAATTTGCAGCAACAGAGGCACTCATGGACTGCTATAAACTTCTATCAGAGGAAGTTAGCACTTATTACCTTTCTGGCCACATCTGTTCCAGAAAAATCATCCCTTGGATCTGGTTCAGTAAAACCTGCCTCTTTTGCCTCAGCCACCACCTCACTGAAAGCTCGTGTTCCTATAAAGTTGTTGAAAATGTAACTCAGAGTCCCACTGCGTCAACAAAGCTTAGAGTGAAGACAAGTTGACAGAAATTTATTGTATACCATCCACATGAGCAAAAACATCTTAGATACTGGGTGAGCCACAGTCATCAATCATATCAGTAACTTTTTGTTTTTATTAGTTGAGAAAACCAGTATGACCAACCTGAAAATGCCTTCAATCCGCAATATCTTGTCCCCAGTTTCAAGGAGACCTTGTAAAGTGCTAATGATTGGAAGCCCAGCTCCAACAGTAGCTTCATAGAAGTAATGTGTATAGGATTGCCGTTGAAGAGCTCTCAACTTCAAATACTGGGATTTGGACAAAATCCAGTCATGAAAGCCCCTAGACGAGTTTTTCAGAAAATGAAACGGAAAAAAAGATGCAAATAGATTTTCTTCAAGTATTGATTATTAGTAAATGAGAATACATCATTGGTGGATCACACAAATATGCATCATATTGTAGCAAATTTATTGAACTAAAGCCAATAATGATCTACACTAACAACCATTTCACTTGTAAAATCATAACAAGGGTACACTAAATCATACAAGTATAATGTTACCTGCTCAAGTGGTCCTGAATTTGCCTTCTGATTTGGGGTAATTACGTGAATTCCTCTTCGCAACCATTCATAGTAACGGCTTACGACACCAGAGTCTGCCGTACAATCTACCAAAACAGTATTTGGAATAAAATGATTTCCATGCACATTGTGAACAAATTTCTCCAGGTCAGCCACTTCTCCCTCCACCTTTTGAAGATCTCTCCATCTAGATAAGTCAATACCCCTATAACCAGAGATGAAAATGTTTAGGGGTCATAATCCTTGGCAGAGAATTCTTTTCTTCTTTAGTGTAAGAATTCTTGAGAGGCTACTTGTCAGCTCAATTAGATTACGACCCATCAACTGAAAAGCTCCAGCATATAAAGAAAAAGGGGCAATGGCAGCATGAGAAAGATATAAGAGAAAGATCATCAAAAGACCTAAGACAGACTATTTAACACTAGCCATGAAGCAGTAGGTAGCAGTTACAACAGAAGAGGCTGACAGGAAATACATTAGCTTTGTGGCCAAAAGAGGTTCTATCAAGCTCTCCTTTTGGTGCAATTGAAGACCATGAAGAACATGCATTTCAATTAGACTACTTGGATATCTCACATTCTTCACATATATTTGGTGAGATGAGAACATGTAAGGCATGAAAGAAAACTACTCTTAATGCAAAAACATAAGCTTAAGCCAATTAATAGGTTAACATGAAAAGAAAAACCTGACCACCAGCCGTGTAGGCCTAATGGCACATTAGCCCAATTTTCAACTAGAATGCTCGAGGGTCCGGCCCCACAAAGGATGTTACTTCTAGTCAGAAACCAGGGAAAAAGAAAATTTTAATGAAAAATAAAACCTAAGTTCCTTCCAACACAAACGCAAGTTAAAACTGCCAACCAAAACAATATTGAATTTGCACAAAAAAGAAGGGTAAACTGAAATCATGATAATTATATATAACTCCCTAACTAAAACAAGTAACAATAATTATCAATCATTCACAACATATAATGTGAATCACAAACTTGACGCCCCATATTAGCGAATAGAAGAATCTCGATAAAGTGAATGTTCATGTCAACTTATTCTTGGAAATGAGCTCTGAAAAAATCTTCCCAAATTTCTGGTTTGACAAATCTCCTCCACATTCTAGGTACTAGGTACAAATGAATCAAACCTCCTCCACATTTTAAGTACTAGGTACAAGTGGAAGTGTTGCATCCCTAAAAGTATTTACAGTGGATTCAATATCGTCTCCAGCAGTGGGACAGCTATGTCCTCTACATTACACCTCTGCAGTTTAGACCAATTTGTGAGGAGGTGGTCAGTGCACCAACCAACAAAAGTACCACCCACCGATTGCCTTTAAACTTCGTAGCATTCTCCAATCTTGTAAATAACAAGGGGATGATTTGTAAATCAATTGATCTTGGTTGTCTTATGCCTAAACAGGGTAAGCCTTGCCAGTTTCCCTATCAATTTGGAGGAAGAATCTACCCCATTCCTCCAACGCTCATGCATTACCTTTTTTATCCAGAATGTTGGGTACAAGATCATTAGCAAAAGAAAAATGCCTGCCAACCGGAGGTCCACCACTGATGTAAGGAAGTGAACACACATGCTCAGCTTCCAAGTACTTTCAGGCATCAAGTTTTAATCTTTAATTATGTGGGTTGGAGCCTGCCTAAGGAACACTCACAGCCACACACACACACGCACAAAAAAGAAAAACAGCACCAAAAAAAAAAAAAAAAAAAACCCAAAAATCAAAAAAAAGCAACAGAAATTTATTTGTTCGATGTGATTTCCCTTCATCATTTGTTATGTAATCACAAACCAAAAACAAATCAGTAAAGACTTCATCTCATTGACATCAATCCCAAAATGAGTTACAACCTTCATGATCTGAGCATAGATTCATTTTTCATTCTACTTCATACCATTTTTGGTTCATTGCAAAATTGGTACACACACACACATATCACCCCAACTAGAAAACCAAGGAACCATACTTGTGTCGCACCCATTCTAATAGGAAAAAACCCCAGCATAAAAATCCTTTAAATGTAAAACTTACGTGTCACTCAGAAGCATTCTCCTTGAGCCAGTGATACCCATAACACGCAAGTCGATGTTAAACTGTTCCTTGAGGACCGCTGCCTGCCAAAAAGAATTTATGTATCACGGTCAGCATAAAAAATATGTTAGCCTTAGCTTTCTGAACTTAATATCAAAGCTTTCCAGAATGCTTTTCACTCAAAATATGTTAGCCCTTGGCTTCTCACTCCAAAACTACCTTATGGTTAACAATTCCATCGCTCCTGAAGTATCCGTTTGTTGAGTAAGTTCACAAAACCTAGACTCAAATGCATTCAAAATTTTTAGACCCATTTTAGCTCAGTAGTTTCAAAATACCTTAGTTGCTTTTCACTTGGACAACACAATCTTTGTGGCTTTGAAGACTAGAGTTAAAAAGAATATAGGCCTTCAATATCAATTTGCAATGGCTTCACTAGGGAAGAGAGTCATCCTGAAGAAAATATGTCAATTTGTCGTCTATTTAAATATTTGTTTTGATTAGTAATTGTATATTAAAATTCTATTTCCTGCTTTTTTTTAATTACAATTCCATATTGATAAAAATCTGGTAATATGATTAAAATAAGTTTATTAAGCTATGTAATCCAACATGAACTAGGAGACATACGAAGTGCATGCTTGTTGAACAGTTCGACCAACGGCTACCAGGGTCCTAGGATCCAAGGACATGAATGATCAATAATATTATACAAATGTACTTTAGGTCCCCCAAGTGTTTCTTACTTTTGATTTCCCAATTTTCATACAAAAAGGTCATACAAATTGATATAGCAATGGCATTTATGCAATTATGACTCGTAGCAGTGAGCTTTTTGATTTCCAATGAATGGCTATAAATGAGTCACATCATTCTGTATACAATTTTTGTATAGAAATTCTGTTTGTATAGTACTATCCTTTCCAAAATACTTCCTCAGATTTTTTTTTTTTGTTTTTTACTTTAAACAATTTCATCCAGTCCTACCTGATTTAAGTTTTAAAATTAGTAGAACTCTGCTTGGCCAATTTCATCCTACATGAATTTGGAGGCCAACATTATAGATTAGCCTACATCTTCAGATCAGAAACTCTCCAATTTGCTTGGCTCTAACAATGACGACGCCCAATTAGTACACATTAATGTGTGGTTGGAAGGGGAAAGATTGAATATATACCTAACCTTTGGCACAGTGCACAAAGTGGTTGTCCCAAGACTTGAACGCATAATCTACATTCGATTTCCTTCAATCAAGCTATGAACTCCCTTCTCAACTTCATTTTACATCTCTACATTCAATTTCCAACTCAGATTCCAATCATTACATCCATTTCTTCTTATAATTTTCTTTTCTTTCTCTTTTCAGCTATTTTCTTCTTTTTGCAAATTGTCATTTCAAAAAAAAAAAAATTTGTTTCCAAGAAAAATAGTTTCAGGTACTTCTTCCTCTCTCTCATAATATGACAAATATAACAGAAAATGTATGGATGTGTAAGTATGCTTTTGAAAACTGAACATATGCTTGGTCGGGTGTGTTTATGTTTTCCTTCTCATTTACATGTAAGTATGAACCTGTAACTTTTTAAAGCCCATTCATTGGCTCATAACTTCTTGTCTGTCCTTACTGCTTTATAATTGTACTTGTACGTCATATGTTTGATGGCGTGGATAGTTTGAGGTAAGTAGGGAATATGGCAGGCAGAAAGATGGCTAGAGACCACCAAAGGTGAGAGAGGAGAGAACCAAGGCGGGCTTGAGAGAGAGAGAGAGAGAGAGAGAGAATTGCAGTGGAGAGCTATAATCCGGGGAGGAGCAAGAGGATGTTAAGTGTGCCGTTGCATGCATGGAGGTTTCCTTTATATATGGTGGCAAATTAGTGGGAGCCAGCTCAGATGAAGACAAGTGGTGAACTCCCTTGGCTAGGCAAATGGAGAAAAACTCGATCAAATATACAACATTGGGACACGTATCACATGCAGATAGTTGGTGAGTATGATACATCTTGTTGGCCGATGGCATAGTGGCTCAAAGGTAAAGTATCATACAGCCATCACGGTATGGCGTCTCCTGGACAAAGGCCCTCTTCTCTCTAAGATTGATCCGAGCACCCCTTATTCTTGAGGGGAGGTTAGCAAGCGTCCAGACAACCTTAAACTCTAGCCTTCAATCCATAAATCCTCCATTGGTCCCGAGCAAGGTACCTAGGCCTTTCTATTAGTCTAGGTAGCACAATGCAGGTGTTGTGTCATGGATCTTCAAGGTTGAAGCCTCACTCGACAAGGCACTCAGCAAGCCAAAAAAACAAGAGAACACGGTGCCACATCTAAGTATAGTGCTAGCTCAAATGAGCATGTTGACAAGGGCAAGCATAGCGGGGGCCTGCAAAAGTAACTGAGCCCATAAGTTTCCTTATGGGAGATTGACAAGTGGCATGTGAGTCTTCTAGGAGAAGTCTCCCGACAGTGATGAAGCGGCGATATGGCAATGCCACATAGTGGGTGTGGGCTCATGTACCTATAGCAGTGTTTTTTAAGGCGAAAAGCGAACCGAGGCGACAAGGTCTCCTAATGCCTAAGCGCAAGGCGAGGAGGCGAGGCGAGGGCTTCATCGAATCGAGGCGACCACAAACGATATTTTTTTTAAATAAATAGTATAGACAAAAATATAAATATTTTCAAGAACCATCATGAATTTATCATTCCAAATACTGGCACTTCTTTCAAAAAAATCTGTTTTCTCAAAACGATTTGCCGGATTTGGACTCTTTGGTTCAGACTTAGAACCGTGACATTTTAGAGTCCTGGGCTGTAATGACCCCAAATGAACAGAACGGGAGCTCATCCTCCCGGGGCGTTCAGGGACGTCTACAGGTGGAGCTCATAGGGTAGGTGTACATGGCATCATTTCTATTTTGTGTGGTTGAGATGTAACTTGTGTGTTTTGAATTCATTATTTCTATTTTTATTATGATGATGTCTAATTCATGCATATATATTTAGTTGTGTGTGGGTGTGTAGAGGTTCATGCTAGTATGTTTGTCTTGAACACTACTGTATCTACTATGAATATTATTGTACAATTTTGTCTATATGATTCCTTCTCCCTATCAAGGTCAAGATACACCTTTTCCATTGTCATACATGTTTGACTTGTTACATCCTCTCTTAATGATTTTTTCAGCCACTAGCCAGTGCATATGGACTTGCAAATCGTAGAGATGGTCAGTGGGAATGGGCAATTGCTTATGGTGTCTCACCATTTCCTAGATATCAACATGCTGCAGTGAGTTTTTCTTTAATAAATAAATTAATTAATTAAAAATAAAAATAAAAAATAAAAGGTCTGCGTACAGGGTATAATTTTTCAAATCAGAGTGAAAAAAAAAAAGATAAAGAAAGGAAGAAGAGACGAAAGGAAGAAGAAGAAAAGAAGACGAAGACGAAGACGCAGCAGTAGGAGGAGAAGAAAGGAAGAAGGAGAAGAAAGGAAGAAAAAAGGAAGGTACTCACCTTTGTCCGAAGAAGGAAGAAGCAGCCGCAGGTAGTCAGTCAGTCGTTCGAAGCAAATGTCGACTGAGAGGAAGTCGACTTAGGGTTTCGACTGAGAGAAAGTCAACATATGAAGAAGAAAGCAATCATAAAGTGCATCGCATGTCCACAATTAGCACAAAAGTCATCCAAATGAAGGACCCAGATCTGTCGAACTGAAATAAGACCGAAATTAATGAAGCGTCGCTTCGAATCGCCATTCGCTTCATCGCCTAAGCCTCGCCTCATGCGCTTCAACTTCACCTCACCATTTTGCCTCGCCTCAGTGAGTCTGAAGCGTTACATCGTCGCCTCGCCTCGCCTCGCCTCGCCTAGCACTTAGGCGAGCGCTTACTCACGCCTCTGATAACACTGACCTATAGATGGAAAAACTAAATAGAACTCTTGGGCAGTTTGTTGCAACTTATCTGAGCTACTTATAACCTAATTTATTCTAGGAGTCTGTACCAGAATATTTGGTGCAACTTATACTTACAGCTTATTAGGTAGAAATAGCTTAAATAAATGGAAAATGTTATGAACCCCAAATAATCTATCAAATTTTCTACCAAACCTCTCACATGGGTGTGGGACCCACACAAACCCACATGTGTATGGGTCTCACACTCATGTGAGGTTTGGTAGAAAAATTGATAGATATTTGGGTTCCCTAGCATCACTCTAAATAAATTTAAAAAAATTGATTATCTAAAAGCTAGGGGAGAGGTGCTTTTGGCTTCTGCTTTTTGATTTTCAAATTTTAGCTTGAGACAAGCTGCAACAAACAAGCCCACTATAATGTCAAGCTTTTTTTTTTCAACAACTAGGGATTCAAATAATGGAGACCCTATCCATTTTGTTCATTCTAGTTATGTAGACATTGAGCCGTATGATCAAAAAAGTGGTGGGAGGTAGCTTTCTGGAGGAATTTAGGGTGGATAAGAGAATTGTTTGAAGTTAGTTGTGTGTCACTTGTATGCAGATGATACTATCATTTTTTGTGGGGAAAATGTAACACAGTTATTCTAGAGGTATTTTCTATTATGTTTTTGAGGCAGTCTCAGGCCTTAAAGTTAAATTGAGCTTTCTAATGTGAAATCCTTATTTGATGTTTTGGATGTAGAGTTGGTTGGGCCTATTCCTTCTCATTTGGTTTTGCCTCTAGGTGCTTCCTTCAAAGCTAAAGCTATCTGGGATAATAGGGCTATTTGGGATCCGATGATTCAGAGGTTCCAAAATAGGTTGGTAGGGTGGAAGAGACAATATCTATCTAAGAGGTCAAGCTCATTATCAAAAGTACTCTTTTTAACTTGTCTACTTATTATATGCCCTTATTTGTTATTCTAGCATCTATTGCACAGAGATTGGAGAATCTCATGAGGGATGTTCTTGTAGGTTTAAAGAAGAGAAATAGTTAGGGAATGAGGTAGATTTCATTCCCTTTTATATTAATAATACTGAGTAATTACATGAGTGTCATAAGGCATAATATATGGTTCAACCCATAACACCAATCAAGGGAATAAAGAAGAAGAAAATACAATCACATATTTCCTATTCTAACTCGTTTCCTATTCTAACACTCCCCCTCAAGCTGGTGCAAAGATATCTCTCATGCCCAGCTAGTTGAGAATGCCATGAAATGGTTTGCTCCCCAGCCCCTTGGTGAGAACATCGGCTATTTAGTCTCCAGTCTTCACAAATGGTATATATATGATGCCATTAGCGAGTTTTTCCTTAATGAAGTGCCTATCAATCTCCACATGCTTAGTTCTATCATGTTGAATTGGGATATGAGCTATGTTGATTGCGGCCTTGTTGTCACAGTATAGTCTCATAGCGTCAATTTGATGGATTCCCAAGTCTTCCAACAATAGTTTAATCCATAGTAACTCACATACACCCTCTCAGCATTAGATCTAGCCACCATATTCTGTTTCTTATTTCGTCATGTGACTAGGTTGCCACCCACAAATGTGCAGTATTTGGAAGTTAATCGTCTGTCAGTGACTGATCCAGCCCAATCTGCATCAGGAAATGCCTCTACACTGAGACGACCATGTTTTGAGAAATAGAGACCCTTTTCTAGGAGAAGACCTCAGGTATCTCAGGATTCTCATAACTGCCTACAAGTGGGAAGTTCTAGAAGCATGCATAAAATAGCTCACCATGTTCACGGCAATGGCAATGTCTGGACAAGAGTGAGGTAAATATATGAGCTTGCCCACTAGTCTCTGGTATCTCCCCCTGTCCACTGGATCTCCCTCTTGATCTTCACTCAGTTTCTAGCCCGATTCTAGAGGTGCATCACATGGTCTACCTCTAAGCATTCCAGTTTCCTTTAGCAAATCAAGTACATACTTCCTCTGGCATATGAAGATGCCATCCTTTGACCGAGCTACTTCAATGCCCAAAAATACTTCAAATAGCTTAAGTCTTTGATTTCAAACTCTTTCGCTAACTATTTTTTCAAACGAGGAATCACCTCAACATCATTTCCTGTCAAAACTCAACACAGACAATAAGAGCTGTGGTCTTACCATATGAGGAGTGTTTCACAAACAAAGTATGATCAGCTTGACTTTGCTTGAACCCATATTTCAGCATAGCTTGAGCAAACCTTTCAAACCAAGCCCTGGGAGATTGCTTTAGCCCATTTTTTCAAACGAGGAATCACCTCAACATCATTTTCTGTCAAAACAATATCATCAACACAGACAATAAGAGCTGTGGTCTTACCATATGAGGAGTGTTTCACAAACAAAGTATGATCAGCTTGACTTTGCTTGAACCCATATTTCAGCATAGCTTGAGCAAACCTTTCAAACCAAGCCCCGGGAGATTGCTTTAGCCCATAAAGTGACTTTCAAAGCCTGCATACTTTACCGTTGGACTTAGCATCCGTAAAATCAGGAGGAATATCCATATAGACCTCTTCTGCTAGGCCTCCATGAAGGAAGGCATTCTTCACATCAAACTGATGAAGTGGCCAATCCAAATTTGCAGTAAGAGAGAGTAAGATTCTTACAGAATTCATCTTAACAACCGATGCAAATGTCTCTTGGTAATCCACCCCATAAGTCTGAGTGAAGCCCATAGCAACCGGTCTTGCTGTGTATCGTTCTATGGAACCATCTACTTTGCGTTTTACCGTGTACACCCACTTACACCCAACTGGATTTTTGCCTCTTGGTAACTTCACTAACTCCCAAGTGCCACTCTTGCGGAGAGCTCTCATCTCTTCCATCATGGCATGTTTCCATTCAGGAATAGATAAAGCATCCTAAAAATTGGTAGGTAGACTCACAAAAGATGCTTTAGACAGAAAAGCTTTATATGAAGGAGATAGATGAAAATAAGAGACAGGATTATTAATAAGATGTTGAGTACATGACCTAACTCCCTTCCTATTAGCAATGGGAACGTCAAAATCTGAAAAAGCAGGAAGAGAAGCACTAGAATCAGAATTGCCTAGACTCTCAGGAGAGGTAGGTGACTCTGGACACTCATCCGGAGAAGAAGTTGGCAGTAAAGGAAGAAAAGTAGTCGGCAGTAAAGGAAGAAAAGTAGTCTCTTGCATCCAGGTGACTTGTTGTATGTCCTTGTTCCTGATATAAACTTTGCCTGCTTCCTTTTCCTCAACAACTACTAGCTCATCATCCTCTAACTGTTCAACCCTTTGCGGAAGTGGAACAGGAATCTCTTTACACCAAGGCTCCCCTGAGAGATGACTATGATACCGGGAGGGTCGGAAAATAAGGCTAAGACTCAAAGAAAGTGATATCCATGAAGACAAACCACTTGCGAGTGGGAGGATGATAACACTTATAACCCTTTTTGGTGGCAGAATAACCCAGGAAAACACACTTCAGAGACCTAAAATCCAATTTACCATGAGTGGGTGAATGATTATGGACAAAGCAAACACAGCCAAAAGTCTTAGGAGGAATGGAGAACTTAGAAGGGGTAGACTCAAACAAAACTTGAAGAGGTGTTTGCTTGTGAAGGACTTGTGTAGGAAGACGATTAATCAAATAAGCGATAGTGAGAACCGCTTCCCCCCAATAGGATCGAGGAACCCGCATCTCAAAGGATAGACAACAGGCGACATCAAGAAGATGGAAATTTTTGCGTTTTGCAACACCATTTTGTTGAGGGATATTAGTGCATGAAGGCTGGTAAATAATGCTACCATGAGTGGCAAAGTAAAAAGCAAGACCAGAGTCAATATATTCCCCCCCCCCCTTAATTATCAGAACGTAGAATTTTAACAACTACCCCAAATTGAGTACAAACCATTTTATGGAAGTTTTGAAACACAGAAAACACCTCACTTTTATCTTTCATCAAATATACCCAAGTGGGCCTGGAACAATCATCTATGAAAGTAACAAACCATTTTTGACCGATTAAAAACACAAAACGGGAGGGACACCATACATCAGAATGAATCAAAGAAGAACTAAACTTTTATTAATAGAAGGAGCAAAAGAAGCTCTATGTTGTTTTTCAAGTTGACAAGACTCACATTGAAAAATCTAACACATTTTTTTTTTCAAAAACAGAAGGAAACAAATGTATAAGTAATAAGAAAGAGGGATGTCCTAAGCGATTGTGCCACAGCCAACTATCTTCCTTGGTGGATGGTAACTGAATAGATAAATGAGCCAGCTTGTCTGTCTCAGTGTTATCAGAGGCGCGCCTAAGCGCTAAGAGAGGCGCGCCTAAGCGCTAGGCGAGGCGAGGCTGTAACGCTTCATGCACAGTGAGGCGAGGCGAAATGGTGAGGCGAAGGAGAAGCGCCTAAAGCGAGGCTTGGGTGATGTAGCGAGAGGCGAAACAAAGCAACGCTTCACCAGATTTTTACCTGATTTCAGTTCGAATCATCAGGGCCCTTCATTTGGATGACTGTTGTGCAATTTATAGACATGCGTTGCACTTTATAATTGCTTTCTACTAAATAAGAAGTCGAAAACCCTAAGTCGACTTTATTCCAGTCGAAATTGACAGGCATACCCGAAGTCGACTTCACTTGGGTCTTCTTCTTCCTTCTTCGGACATCGTTCCAGTCGACTAACAGAGGTGCTCTTCTTCTTCCTTTCTTCTTCTTCTTCCTTTCTCCTTTCTTCCCTTCGTCCTCTCCTTCTGTCGCTGATTCTTCATCTTCTTTTCTTCTTCTTCCTTTCTTCAACACTGTCCTTCCTTTCTTCATTTTTTACTTCATCTTCTAAAACACTGTCGCCCCCCCCCCCTTTTTTTTCCTAGTTATTTTAATTTGTTTAATTATTTTTCCGTGTTATTTTTTTTCCATCAGAATTTTTTTTCAATTAATTTGTTTAATTATTTTTCTGTGTTATTTTACAATTATTTTGCTATGTTAATTGCGTAATTATTTTGGTGAAAAATTTTCAATTAATTTTGTTGAAAATTTTCAATTATTTTGCTGAAATTTTAATTATTTTGTTGAAAAAATTTCAATTAATTTTGCTGAAAAATTTCAAGTAATTTTGCTGAAAAATTTTCAATTAATTTTTGCTGAAAAATTTCAATTATTTTGCTGCTAAAAATATGCTCTTTAATATCTTTATGCTGAAACATTGAATTGCTTGTTGGATAGAATTAGATGTCGAAGTCGAGTGAAAGCAAAAAAGGTCCGGCATGGGAATATGCACGGATGGTAAATCCCTAATACCTTTCAAAGTTCATTTGTAACTTTTGCGACAAAGAAATGAATGGCGGCGTTTACCGAGTCAAGCAACATCTTGCTGGTGGTTATAAAAATGTTGTTGCTTGTAAAAAATGTCCATCTCATGTCAAAAATGAGATTAAAGACTATATGTCTCAAAAAAGTCAATCAAAGGTTCAATTGAGAATGGTTCCTTATTTTGATGAGATGGATAATGATGAAGATGATGATGATGAAATTCTTGAGATAAATCAATATGGTAAAAGGCCTGTTTCTACTCAAGGTTCTACCCATCGAGAACAAGGAAGTAACTCCTCCAAATCTGTTGCTTCCAAACAACCAAAGCAAAAGGGACCCATGGATGTGTACTTCACCCCTGATCCGGAAGTTGCGGTGTAAAATCGTAAAGCCAAGGGAAAGCAAACAAGAATTAATGATAATGATCCTAGCAACAAGGTGTTGAGAGATCGGGCTCTTGTTTGGTTTTCGAGGTGGATGTATGATACGGGTATACCTTTCAATGTTGTGAACTACAATAGTTTTGGGCCAATGCTTGAAGCTTTTGGGCAATATGGTCCTGGCATGAAACCACCAAGCTACCACGAGGTGCGAGTTCCTTATTTGCAGAAAAAGGTAGACCACACAAATAAGACCATGGAGGATCATAAAAAGATTGAGTAACATATGGATGCTCTTTAATGGCCGATGGGTGGAAGGACAAAAGAAACAGGGCATTAATTAATTTTTTGGTTAATTGCCCAAGAGGATCAATGTTTATTGAATCTGTTGATGCTTCTAGCTTATCCAAAGATGCAAATAAGATGTTTGAATTGCTTGACAACTTTGTGGAGCGTATTGGTGAAGCCAACGTGGTTCAAGTTGTTACAGATAGTGCCTCAGCAAATGTGTTGGTAGGTTAGTAACTTAGTAGTATATATTTACTTAGTACTTACAATATGAATATGCAATTCTCATATTAAAAACTCGTTCTTTTTTTTTTTTTTTAAACTTGTAATAGGGAAGTTTTTGGAGGCAAAGCGGCCACAATTGTATTGGACACCATGTGCAGCTCATTGCTTGGACTTGATGTTGGAGGACGTTTTCAAAATTCCCAACTTCAACAAGACATTTGAAAAGGCAATTGCGGTGCATGGTTATATTGTGAACTGCTCTAGTTTGTTGAATATGAGGAGGCAATTTACCCAGTGCAAGGATTTGATCAAGCTAGCAAAAAAAAACTCGACTTGCAACTGCTTTTCTAACTTTATCAAGGATTCATCAACAACAAACTAACTTGAAGAAGATGTTCACTTCAGAGGAATGGACCACAAGCAAATGGGCAAAGGAACCTCAGGGTAAAAAGACAGCAAAAGTCATATTAATGCCTTCTTTTTGGAACACTGTTCTTTATGCTCTCAAAATATCAAGTCCTCTTGTTCGTGTACTGCGATTGGTTGATGGTGAGAGAAAGCCTCCCATGGGATATATTTATGAGGCAATGGATAGGGCTAAAGAAGCCATGCAAAATCATTTAATGGAAATGAAGAGAAGTACAAGGAGTTTTTTGAAATAATTGACAATAGATGGAATGTTCAATTGCATAGGCCTTTGCATGCAGCTGGGTATTATTTAAACCCAAAGTATTTTTACGCAAATCCTAATATTGAGAAAGATAAGGAAGTCATGTCAGGCCTGTATAAATGCATACAAAGTTTGGTCCCAAACAATGAGACATAAGATAAAGTTTGCGCAGAGTTGACTACCTATAAGAAAGCTGAAGGTCTCTTTGGGATGGCTTTGGCCATTAGACAAAGAACTACAAGGGCACCAAGTGATCTATATTTTATACTTAGGTAATTTTGGTTAGTTATAATCAACAGCTGATTGGTGGAGTGCATATGGTTCTGAAAGGCCAAATTTGCAAACATTCGTCATCAAAATTCTTAGTCTAACTTGTGGCTCATCTGGATGTGAGCAGAATTGGAGTGTGTTTGAACATGTGAACACCTATTTTTAACTATAGTGAATATGAATACCAATAAATTTATTAATACCTAGATAAAAATTTTAATATTTTTATTTGGTTTGAATTTTTGCAGATTCACACCAAAAAGAGAAATAGGTTAGCTCAAAAACGTCTGAATGATTTGGTATTTGTCAAGTATAATAGAGCATTGAGATGTCGATACAATTCCCGTGACACTATTGATCCCATTGCTTTGACGGATATTGATGAAAGTAACGAGTGGTTGGTTGGGAGGATGGAGGAGGAACTTGTCTTTGAGGATGATACTTTGACATGGGATGATGTTGCTAGAACTGCTGGAGTTGAGGAAAGTAGCCAAAGAACTAGATCAACAAGGGCAATTGAAAGGGGTTGTTCAACTTCAAAATCTAGACCTAGATTGCAACTTATTGATGAGGAAGAGTCAATTTCAGATGGGGGAGAGGAAGAAGATGCAGAGGGATATGCTGAAGCCAATGATAATGAATAAGAAGTTCATTTGCTTGATGTTGAAGATGATTTTTAGAACTTTTGGATGGGTGAATTGTATTTGTCATTGTTGGATATTTTCTTTTGTTTACGGATATTTAGCATTTGGAATGATAACTACATGATGGTTCTTGAAAATATTTATATTTTTGTCTATACCATTTATTTAAAAAAATATCATTTCCGGTCGCCTCAATTCGATGAAGCCCTCGCCTCAATTCGATGAAGCCCTCGCCTCGCGCTTAAGCATTAGGAGACCTTGTCGCCTCGGTTCACTTTTCGCCTTAAAAAACACTGGTATGTCTAATCCAAAATGTAGAGACCATGTTCCTCTCTACCATTAGCAATCCTCTTCTTCGTGATAAGATCCTGAAAAAGACAACGATCAGGAAAAAAAACGTCACGCTACAATTTAAATCATGAGTAAGGCCTCGTATGGAACCCTTCTTTTTAGTCAAAAAGCCAAAAAGTTATTAAATTAGCAAAAAAGCCAACAACCCATACCAAAAAGTCAAAGATTCTCTTTTCTTTCTACTTTTTGCACATCTTTTCGTAAAAAGCCAAAAAGTCATCCCAAACATACTAGTTTTTTTTAGCTCATATTTTAGCCAAATAGCCAAAAAGTTACTAAATTAGCCTGTTCCCTAAGACAACTCAAAGATAAAAGATTAACACTAAAATTGGGAACATGGAGTACAGAGGACAAAGGATGGAAAGAGGTTGCATAAATTAAACCTTTTCCTAGCACAGACAAAATAGTACCATCAGCAATATGCACTATTTCTTGACATAAGAAGGGGTTATACTCTGAGAATAAATTAGAGGAGCCAGACATATGGTCAGAAGCACCAGAATCAATAATCTGTGGTACAGTCGTATGAGATAGCAATGCACATGGAGAGAAAGTTAAATTACCTGAATTGGCAAAGGAAAAAGGAGGTGCACCTAGAGCAAAAGTGGAGGCTCGATGGTCTAGCAAGTGGCAAAGAGCAATCTCAAAATCCGAGACAGATAATCCCGAAACATCAGCAGCAGGTGAGACAACTGGAAAGGAAGATGATGGCAACACCGTGTCTGAAAGATGGGCCCGACCTCTGCGGCCACCAGAAGGAGTCCCATGCAGCTTCCAACAAGTCTCTCGGGTGTGGCGAGGTCTACAACAGTAGTCACAGAAAAGATTACCCTTCTCAGAGGAAGGACGAGAACCACGAGTCACATGGTCGCCAGCGCGAGAAGGGGCAGAAACCAAGGCCGAGCGATCAGTAGTAGCAAAAGGAAGCATCGCAAAGCGTCGACTCTCCTCATTCTACACAAAAGCAAAGGCTTCCTGGAGAGAAGGAAGCACATCCATGCCAAGTACTCTACTCCGAACCGGATCATACTCCACATTTAGGCCTTCCAAGAACTTGAAAACCCGTTCTTGCATCACAAACTTCCGGTAACCAGCAGAATCAGTGGGACAGACAGGCTTGTAATCCTAGAGGTGATCAAGCCGCTTCCACCCATTGCTAAGGAAGGTAAAATACTAGAGGATAGTCATCTCACCTTGTACCGACCTTTCAATGGAGCGACGTAACTCAAAAGCCTGTAAGAAGTTCCCCTTCCAGGAGTTAGTAGTAACTATAGCCTCCCAAATATCCTGGGCAATGTCCATAGACAGGTAGCCCTCTCCAATCTCAGGTACCATAAAATGGATCAACCAACCCATGATTAGGGAGTTGGTGATCTCCCATTGGTCAAAACTAGGATCCGTGGTACTAGGTGTCTATATCCGTCCATCAACGTACACCATCTTTCCTTTGCTTTTCAAAAAAATAGTCAAACTCTGCGACCCGACTAGATAATTCTAACTATTGAATAGAGAGGTGGTGATCTTAAGGCTATGGTTAAGGTTACCAGTCATAGTAGTAGGAATAATGGTACTCTCGCCCTCAGGTGGCTGAGAAGTAATGGACTCACTAAGGGAATTTATCATGGATACTCTACTATTTAACTCTCAAGCACAATGCCAATCACAAACCTGAAAGATAATAGTAGAAGAAAAAACACCACTACGCCTATAAAAGCATTGGGAGGATGGAGGAGGAACTTGTCTTTGAGGATGATACTTTGACATGGGATGATGTTGCTAGAACTGCCCTTACTGCCCCTTTTTTGTTTTTCCTTTTGTTTTAAAAGAGAAGAAAAACAGAGAAGAATGAAAGACGAAAAAGAAAAGCACTCAAACTGATAAGGCAGTAGTCAACAAAGGCAATGAACGCCCCGTCGACCAACCAGAGGCTACCGAATGGCCTAGAGAGAGAGATAGAAAAGGCCTTCAGGTTTGCCAACAAACCTAGGATGACAAGCTAGGACTGCCGATAGGCCTAGAAGAGGACAGAGGAAGCTTTGGCTGGCCTGGGAAAGAGCCGATTGACCTTCTTCTTAACTGGGCAAGGGCCGAATGGCCAGAAACTTCCTTCGGTTGGCCTGGGTGGGGGTCGACTATCCCAGGCAATGGTCTGGGTGGCCTGGGCAGTCCTGCGGTGGAAGAAGGTGACCGTGCTTAGGTTTCTCCCACTGGCTCTGATACCATGTAGGTTTAAATAAGAGAAAGAGTTAGGGAATGAGATAGATTTCATTCCCTTTTATATTAATAATACTGAGTAATTATAGGAGTGCCATAAGGCATAATATATGGGTCAACCCATTACACCAATCAAGGGAATAAACAAGAAGAAAATACAATCACATATTTCCTATTCTAACAATTCTTTGGTGTGGCCTACAGAAGGAGTTTAAGTAACCATTTGGGGGATTAGGACACAATTTGTGCTCCTATCAATGAGGGGGCCTAGGTATTAGGAAGCTTGAAATCGTTAATCAGGCATTATTAGGTAAGTGGTTATGGAGTTTTTCTTGTAGTTAAGAGAAGTAGTGAAAGGTGGTGACTTCAAAATATGAGAGGAGTTTGGGCGATTAGACCTCTCCTGATAATTATGTGTCTTAGGTAGGCCTTCGAAAGGTATTGGGAAATGTTGGGACTTTGGTAGCAAGAACTCCTACTTCGATGACGTTTCTCACTCAAAAACGTGATTTTGAGCGAAACTTGTAAGAAACTTGCTCCCGTCGAGGAAAAAAAACTCGCTTCTAATTGAGATAGAATCTCTCAAACATATAAATCTCACATATAAAATAAAAAATAAGTATAAATAAAAACCCAAACTTATTTTAGTAATTTCTATTTACATAATATTTATTTGTACTTAACAAAGATAATTCGTAATTGACATCAATCTCTAATATGTGTTCATATTTTAACATATATATTATAACTAAGCAAAAAAAATAATTGTTAGAATATATTTATATATTTAATATATAACATATATATACACACTCCCATTCGTAATTAACATATATTTATATATACACACTCCCATATTTATATATTTATCTTTTTAAGGTTGCTTTTCTTGCTTAGTGTACAGCTCCAAGGAAAGATTCTTACTATTGACAACTTAATCAAAAGAAGGCATATTTTGGTGAATTGGTGTTATATGTGTAAAAGGGAGGGTGATTCAGTGAGCCATCTTTTAATTCGTTGTCAAATGGCTCAAGAGCTTTGGTCCTCGGTTCTTTCTTAGTCCCCATTGGAGTTGAGGATCTTTTGCATTGTTGGCTTGGTGCTAGGATCGCAAACAAGAGCAAGAAGGTGTGGAGATTGATTCCCTTATGTATTATGTCGATTGTTTGGGGAGAAAGGAATCAGAGGTCTTTTGACGGTAGAAAAAAGTCCTTTGTATAGGTTAAAAAGTATACTTCGTAAGTTCTATGTATAGTTGAGAGTCAGGTGTCGCCTATGAAACACGGGTATGGGTACAGATACGAGTACTGGTACTGGTACGATACGGGTATGTTGATACAGTAAAATTCAAAAAAAATTAGGGTACGGGTACGGCTTGATACACTTGTAAAAAAATATTTATTTTTAATTTAGAGCAATGCAAAAATTAATTAAATGGTTTAATTTGTTAAGGTCCAACCTATAATTAACATTTAATGCTAAAAGTAAATGTATAAATCAAAACTAAACTAATGTCAATATATTAAATAACTTCGAAACCATAGTTTAATTTTAAAATCATGCTCAGCATAAAACAAAAAATAAAAAAGAAGTCTAGTGAAAGGAGTTTTATCTCTGTAGTAGAAGAAAATATAGTTTCAACTGAGGTACGGTACGGTACGGTACAGTACGACACGGCTTGGGTATATACTAGATACGTCTGGGTACACCAAAATAAGAAGAAAAAACTTCGATACATGTTTCGTGTACCCGGTACGTATGCAGAAGTACCATACAAAGTACCATATGCCAGTAAGTATCCGGTATGGGTATAGCATGTTTTTCGAAGTACCCATGCTTCATAGGGTGTTACTAACCCTTCTCTTGACCAATTTGTGGATTTCATAAAGCCTTTTCATACTAGTGGTGTATAATGATCTTTTGTTTTCTTGGTCCTTTTTGTACTTGGGTGGCATTCCCTCAATAGTTTTTTTGAATAATTTTTTTTGTTACTTACCAAAAAACAGACACATCTGATGTTTGTAAAAAGTTTAGTGATTGACCTGGCATTGTGAATGTATGGATGAGCATAGTGTCGATTTATGAGGCTAGAATGTTTTGTTGCTACACCATAGCTCCCATTTTGTGGTGTTTAATTTAGAGAATCTGATGTTACCTATGTGAAGCGAAGTCCCACATTACCTTGATACAAAAAGGATATGTGATATATATATATATATATGTATTTGAGGGCACCCTCACTCGACAAGCTAGCTTGTAAAGTTGCTCAAGATAGTAGCACATGATGGTATAAGAGTTGGACGTACCACAGGGAAGGGTAGGGTGCATGTCTCAAGCCTTGCACCCTAGGCATGAGGGAGAGTATGAAGTGAAATCCCGCATTGCCTAGGTACAAAAGAGATGTGCAATGAATAAGCATGAGGGTATCCCACTTCACAAGCTACTGTATGGAGGTGAGTTCTATTCAAGACTGCATCACAACCTTGTCACAGTCTATACCATTGAATC